TCGTTAGAAAAGGTATAAATACACCCCTTCTCCCCCAGCTATCGATTAAATAGTTGGACTTGTATCAGTAAATCATTATTGTCTTCAACAATATTGTTATAGTCTAAGAAATATTTTCTGGCTTTAAGTAACCTGCAAAGTGTTGATAAGCCGTAAAATACAAACTAATCAATCAATTAATCGATCGTTCGCTTACCACAGGAAATATTTTGTAAATTCTATAACACACGCGGATTAACAAACTTGTACGTTTTTTTATAACTATTTATTATGTCCTTTACTGAGTGATGATCTCTTGTGTTCTTTAAAATAATAAGAAGCGGTTGAAACGTTGAATCAATGTCCACCTTCTCAGGATTGTTATTTCAGCTTTCTGTTGTTTTCCCAATTATTTAGGAAAATATTTTTATTATTCCGCCAATTATTAATACCCACATATTTATCTTTGTTTATAACGTGGATGATCCACGGGGGCCTTGGAGCGAAGTGTGTAGGCATCGGGTACGTGAAATCACGCGAACGGCACATCTGGACCCCGCATGTTGCTTTCCACACCCGTGGATCTTCCTTTACAGCGAACCCTTCAACGTCAAACGATATTGCAGAGCCCTAAAACGCAAATTCAAAGACGAACTGAAGTCTTCCTTTTTTCAGGATGGAATCAGTCCTGATAACTGGGAAACTGAAACCACTGATCGTACATCCTGGCGAAGAGCAATTAATTTCGGTTGTTCAAGTTTTGAGGAGAGGAGAAAGGCAGGGCTGCTCCAGCCAAGACCATCACCCGCCCTGATCAATACCTAAGCTCCTGAGTCATATCAAATTTAAGCATCCGTGGTAGCACCGAAAAAAACAAAATTTGGTCTGATACCAAGGATAACATGGATGAGGATATTAGTCCAAAGAACAAGCACAAGATAAGCAGGACTGAGAAATATTGACCATAACGGGATGGTTTCTCCGTAGAGACAATAGTAAAAGCTGCTTGTGTATATAGAGCTATTATCAAACTTTTGTGAATGTGCGGGTGGTGTACTGGATAACGTCTCGGAATGAGAACTCGGAGAACCAAGTTCGAATTCCGGTTAGGTTTATTACATTCTCATCGCTACATTCTAATAACCTTAGTAAAGATATGAATCAATTTCCTCTTGGTAATGACTGAGACAGTCGAAAAAACTCAGATAAACACGGTCCAATAATGTGCACATTGGGCAGTTTATACATACGGTTCTCGAACAATCACCAAAGTTAAGCAACGGTGAGCCTGGTCAGTACCTATATTTAAGCTTCAATGTGTGATTGGTGTAATGGATAACGGCTGGGGAAAGTATGAAATCGCCTCTTCTCCCCACCCCCAGCTAGTGATTAATTTACTTGTATCAGTAAATCCTTATTGCCTTCCAAAAATTCTTACAATTTAAAAATATTTTCTGGCTTTAAATAAGATGCAAAAGGTTGATGAGCCGTAAAAATCCAAATCAATCAAGTTTATATAAAATTTTGATTTGGAAGTACATAAATATATTTGAAAATTTTAAAATATGCATTAAAAATTAAACAAACAAACGCTGTCAGTTGAATTTAATAAACATGTTTAACAACCAAACACGGGCACACATACACATATACCCACACGCATATATATATATATATATATATATATATATATATATATATATATATATATATATATATATTAACTTTTCACCCCAAGCAAGGCGGGAGTGTCACGCAAGGGGTTACAGAAAGTGAGAGCAAGAGTAACGAGGCCTGAAAGAGGAAAGGGTGAAAAGAAGGGCGGGAAATAGATCAAGGCATCTGAAGATGTCGATTGACATTGCATTTGAATAGTTGGAGATTATATCTATCAGGGAAGCAAGTAAGAGGAAGGGAGTTCCACAGACGGGAACGGCAAGTCATGAAGCTATTGGAGTAGAAGAAACGGCTACATTTAACCGTTTCAACAGTGAAAGGGTGGGACTGAGATGCCGACCTAGTGGCACGTTTAAATTCATGCAGTTACCGTGAGAGTATTTGTAGAAAAGACAGATGGAGGCTACGGTACGTCTGTGAGAGAGCAACTGTAAACGAGATATGGTGTGATGGGTAAATTGTTGCATTTTATTTTATCTTTTAAATTTAGCTAGCGCATGCACGTTGTCTGATTTTTTTTTTAATTTTGTCGGCTGCACAGTATAATAGGGTCAGTTGGACACCGTCTGTGAGAAAAAGAGCACCATAATGCAATTCAGTCCAACAGAAATTTGGAAACGACATTCTGTACTGCTTGGCGTTCACGCCGGAACCTCCAATGCGAACATTTCAAAGTTTTGGGTTGTCAATCTGAGGACAGTGCAGAGGATTTGAAGTTAGATAAGTATAATGGTGATTACGAAGGTGTTTGTACTGATCACTAGTGATGGCGACGTTATGCCTCGATTCATCTTCCCACAGGGCCTTAGAATCAACACTGAGGACTACATCAAGTGCCTTGAGGGAATGTTGTCTTGAATAAAGAGGGTGGCTGCCGGATGACCATATGCCTGGCAATAGCACTATACACCATGACACACAAGCAGGAGAACACAGTCATGGCTGCAAGACAATTTCTGCGACCACATCACCCCTTACTTCTGGCCACCTAACTCCCCAGACTACAACCCCATTGATCATTATGTGTGGTGCGCAATTGAGCGAGAGACCAACAAACCTCCTTGTAAAACTAAAGATAAATTGAAGGCCAGAATTATAGCAGCATTCACCATCTTAAACAAGGAAACCGCCCAAAAGAGTTGCAAGAGATTCCGAAGTCGTCTGGAGGTCGTGGTTAAAGTCAATGACAATTTTATTGAATAAATTTATTCTTTTGTATTTCAAGGTAGTTTTGTGTAATTTTGGTAAATATTTCTATTAAAATTAAATGTCAGTATTATTTTCATTTTCGTATAATTTAGACGAAAATTCATCCATCACAACCTCTACACACACACACAAACACACACACACGTGTGTGTGTGTGTGTGTATGTAGGTATGTGTATCCGCTTTAAATTTAGACATCCCCAACCTTACCCTGATTTGACCACTTTGAATGTAACTGAGATATTGATACAAATTATTAACCCTTACGCCCCCTTTTTTTTTTAAATAATGGCTCTAACCGTTACCATAGTAATTTTAATTTTAATAATGAATATGCTTATAAAACGCGTAAATTTCAGGAATTAGTTATTCCAAAAAAATTTCGCTTGAAGATGGAACAGAGCTTAGTACTTTAATTCAATTTAATTCAAATATATATATTGAAGTTTTCGGCTCTTGTTTTGAAACATGAGAACTCTTATGTAGCGTTGGAATCATATTTTTAAATAAATAATTATATATATATATATATATATATATATATATATATATATATATGTACAGCGGCGACAGTCTGTTTAATGCTTAAACGCGATCTTCAGGCCATGTGTGTTGTGTTTTGAATGCAGCCAAAGTTCAACAGACTCAACATTAAAACTTTTTAACAACTGGCGTTATTTTTTACGATCCCAATACATTCGTAAAACAATAAATGAGATTGCTTATGCATTTTATTTTATAATATTTTAATCAATTTACTCCAAACAAGGTGGTAATGCCTGAAAAGCACAAGAGAGCTGCAGGAAATGAAAACAAATGAAATGCATTAGAAGGCGCCAGAAAACCAAATAATCTCGTAAATTTCAGAGTTAGTTAGAAGCATAGTAGAATTTAGAAGGAACCGGGAATCTAATCATCAACATGGAGCAAGAGATAAACCTCTAGTCCTGTTCAAATAACCGTGGAGGAGCGTGAACCGGGCGATAAGCGAACCTGTCTATTGTGGAAAAAATAAATAAATTGTAAAGAACACACAATTTATAGAAAGTCCCGTAAAATTCCCCAAATCCTAATATATTGGGTTTGCTTAATTAAAGTAGAATAATACGGCAATAAAACGGATAAATTGTTTTATGTATTATGATAAGAATGTATTATGTTTTATATATTATGTTTTATGTACCATCTGCGAAACTATGGGCAATTACCGAGCTTTTCCAGTCGTACAAGCATACAACTCATCCATTCATCTGGCCCTAAAACCTCGACCTATGCACGAGTATATGCAGTAAGCGTTCAGCGTGCGTTGGCAAGAAATATTTGGAAATTTTCGAAATAGGGGAAGTAGCATGCATGAAGGGAGGGTCACGTTCAAATCGAGACGGTCGTAAATAGAGCCACGTGCGTTAAAGTGAGCCTGCATTCGCTAAGGTACAATAATTAGTCGATACAATACACAAGCGTAATGGGAATGACTCACGCAAGAGATTTGGGGGAAAGGGAGGAGAAAAGATGGGCGATTAGGTGTAGGCGTGAGAAGCGTGCACGTGTCAGCTCTCCAGTCCTTCGTTCTGAGGCAAATCGGTGTTCCCATGCGCAACAGTTCATGTCCGCCTGCAAATATTTCCTTAGACTAGATTCGCACAAAAGTGAAACAACCACTGGGCATCCAACTCACCAGCTAAAAATAATAATAATAATAATAATAATAATAATAATAATAATAAAAATAAAAATAATAATAATAATAATAATAATAATAATAATAATAATAATAATAATAATAATAATAATAATAAAAAAATAATAATAATAATAATAATAATAATAATAATACGTATGAATATTGTGAAGAATGAAGAAATATTGCAGTGACCATCTTAATAAATGCGAGGCGGCAGTTGTCTAATTCTGCATAGAAACGAAAAGTATAAATTGTTTAATATGTTGCTATACCTGTGGATAGTAAGGTAGCTAGCTAGGTAGTATATATATATATATATATATATATATATATATATATATAAAGAGAGAGAGAGAGAGAAAGAGAGAGAGAGAGAGAGAAATGAACAGTTTGAGATAGATAGATATGATCAGTTTGAGATAGACATGATCAGTTTGAGATAGACATGATAGTTAGAAGATAGATAGATAGATAGATATGATCAGTTTGAGATAGATAGATAGATAGATAGATAGATAGATAGATAGATAGATAGATATGATCAGCTTGAGATAGATAGATAGATAGATAGATAGATAGATAGATAGATAGATAGATATGATCAGCTTTAGATAGATATGATCAGCTTGAGATAGATAGATAGATAGATATGGTCAGTTTGAGATAGATATGATCAGTTTGAGATAGATAGATAGATAGATAGATAGATAGATAGATAGATAGATAATAACAAAATGATGAAATCTAGTCCTTGCATTTATAAGAAATAATATATTTTTTTAGTTATGTCTATTTTAAAATGATCTTTAAGTTTGTTTTTTGTTCTGTTTTCTTTTTTTGTTTTTTTTTTTTATTACAAACATGAATCAATCTTTTCATTATATATTGTTATTGCGTTTTACAAATGATATCGACATGGAACAAAATCCTATTACCAAGCACATTTTATTTAATTTTGTTTACTTAGTCATTCATTTACTTATTCATAACGTAAGTTGTATCGATCAAACACAGGCGGGACAAGGTGAATCCCCAAGGCTGAATTTGCATCATAAGCTTCACTGAGTGGTCCCCTATCGTCTTATATGCACAGGCATCAATATTAGCAATTGTGAAAGACATTGGCATGAATACAATGACACTCGTCGACTCTAGTGGAGCCGAAGCAGTAGCAGTAGTTGGCAGTACTAGTAGCAGCCGAAGCATTCGCCATTGTCGTAAGAGACATCCGCGTTAGGAGGGTTATGAGGCGTAGTAGAGGCAATGGTCGTACCAATGGTATTATGAGTAATTGTATAAGAGAAAAATAAGGACAGCAATTCGCTATTAGTCATCGTAATTTCATAAGTAGTTGTAATTGTCATCATTAGGCTGACTGATTGGTTGGCGGGAGATTTTTTAATGGATTATTTGAAATTAAGTGTAAAGTAAAAGAGATGGAGGAGGAGGAGGAAGAATAATAATAATAATAATAATAATAATAAGAAGAAGAAGAAGAAGAAGAAGAAGAAGAAGAAATAGGAAAATTGAGCAAAAACGAAAAAGGAGAATGAAAGAGAACAAAAAACAAAAAAGAAAAAAGAAGAAATAAAGAAAGAGTAGAGAGAAAGAAGAAGGAAAAGAGGTGAGAAGAAAAAAGCAGGGAGAAGGTATTAAATAGATGCGTAAAAAAACGGAGGTTACAGAAAAGGTAGGGAAAACGAAGAAGTAGACGAAAGAGAAGAAAAGAAATAAGAGAAACTGGAAAAAGGACAGTAGCGAGGGAAAAGGAGAGAACAATGAGAAAAAGAAAGAGAAAAAAAGAAGGAAAAAGGACAGAATCATGGAGAAAGGATAGAAGAAAAGAAAGAAACAAGGGAAGAAGGAAAAGGAGGTAAGGAGAGAAATGAGAAAAGATAAATAAAGGGAGAAGAAAAAAGAAACAAGGATAAGGAAATAAAAGGAGAAAAGAAAGAAACAAAACAGGAAATGAATAGGACGAGAGAGAAAAAAAAAGAAAGGAAAAAGAGGGAAAGAAACACGAAAAGGAAAGAGATAAGAGAGGTGAAAAGAGAATGAAATAAAAGAACGAAGGACAAAGGGGTGAAGAGAGGAGAGAAAGAAGGGGAATAAACAAACGAAGGAAGGAAAAAGAGTGAAGACAAGAGAAAGAAAAAGACAGAAACAAGCGAAAGTAAAAAGAAAGAAGAGATAAAGAAAAAGAAGAAGAGGGAGAAAAAAAAACCGAAGCAAAGAAAATGCTTAAAAAATTTTTTTGAAAGAAAGAAAAAACTTGTCACAGTAGTATATTCTGAAGGAAAATAAAAACTCCCCACTGTTCTTTGTCTTTCAAAAGATATTATTCAGCATTTACAATTATACAATATGTTTGTATGGGCAACAACTTCAATGCTGCTGCTACTATTAATAATACAAGTAGTATTAATAGTAGTCATAATAATAATAATTATAAGAAGAAGAATATAAAAAGCAAAAATATTTATGCAGTAAAGAATACCGACATGATATCAACACATAAGAAAAGTAATGGTAATAACAAGAAGAAAAATATATAGCGGTAATATAATAGCAACATGAGTAGTAACAACAACTAGTAGTAGTAGTAGTAGTAGTGGTAGTAGTAGTAGTAGAGGTAGTAATAGTTGTATTAGTAGTAGTAGTATAGATTTAAGCCATTCTAGAGGACAGCATTACTAAAATACACTAGAATAGAATACTAAGGAGAGTGCTGGAGAGATTGTCACTTCATCTTCAGCGAAACCTACTAGTTAATCAATAAGTACAAATAATGACGACAAAGGCGATTACTACTACTACTACTGCTACTACTACTACTACTACTAATAATAATAATAATAACAATAATAATAACAATAACAAGAAGTGTTTTAGGAGATGCTGTCACTTCATTTCTAATGAAAGGCTTCTACTAGTTTGAGATCTCGATGAGTTAAAATGATTATAAAGGATAATAATAACCAATCAAAGGAAATAATAATAATAATAATAATAATAATCGTGGTACTCCTATTTTTATTCGACTTTTAGGCTAGTCATAAAAGTCATAGTAGTAGTAGTAGTAGTAGTGTAAATAATTTTAAGAAAGGACAGATGACGTTAGAGTCGTCTTTGCCGCTCAAGAAGGAGTAATAATTTGAAACAAAGCCAAGCCTTTGCAAATCTAACGTGACAAATATGGTAAAAAGCAGAGGGAATATTGAAAACAGCGTCTTCACCGTCGTCATCACAGTGAACAACTACTGCAGTTGCTGTAGTTTTTCTGAACGCGCAGAAGTAAGTGTCTTATGTCCAACGAGGAGGAGGAGGTGGTGGTTGCCCAAACCACTGTAGCCAGCACTGATTGAATCTGTCCGACAAGGTGAAATAGGATTTGACAAATTATTATCAATGTCAACGACCTCAAGGAAATAGTGTCGTTATCATTACGACAGCAACCATACCAGCAGTTTGCGATCCTAACATAGAATTAACCAGTATAAACACTGTCATCAACACAATATTTTCTTCCAATGATTGCTGAGATATTTAACATTGATATCTGTCTATATCTCTGAGATGAGGTATTATGATTACTTGCATTTTTTACATTACTCGGACTGTTATCCTCATCTTTATTGCCACATTCACAACGTTTCGACCGTTGTACGCTCCGGGCTTCTTCAAATGATTGAAATTTCGAACCAAACCCTTTATTTCGTCCACTGGGGTAGATTGTTCTAGTTCCACCTGACATGCCTCTTCCGGGTGTCTAAGTTATTTCCCATTAACTCAACTCTCCAAGTTTCGATTCACCACTGCTGTGGCCTAGTACTGAACTCATAACTGTCTGAGTCTAGTTACTGGATCTAACCAACGTCTTTATCCAATGGGCCATGTGTCCTTGAAGAAATTAAAATCACCTGAAAGAAAGCCGGAGCGTACAACGTCCGAAACGTTGTGAATATGGCAATAAAGATGAGGATAACAGTTTGAATAAATAATGCAAGTTAACTTTGATTTATCGTAAATAAAACGATGTTATCTATATACAGACTCGTTTTAATGCCCTCCGTGTTATGGGATTTCTTTAATGCATATTTTAAAATCTTAACCCCAAGCAATCTGGTCAGCTAACAGTCCTCATCTATGGTCGTGAATATTGAACATATGAAGAAGAGACTTGAAACCACAGAAATATGGTGAGAATATCATGAACTGAACATGTCAGTAACGAGGAAGTGTTAAGGAACTTGAAACAAAAAGAACACATATACTCAGATCAATTATGATGGAGTAGTGAGTTCGATCCTCTCTGTGTGCTCCATATTTCCAGCCTTGTGCCACACCTAAGCTGCGCTTAGTAAATCATTATACTTAGAATCAGAAAGAGGCAGTTGAAATTTCGAGGAAACATAATGAAGAAAGATGGTTTGGTGAATTTGACACTCACAGGAAATACTGAGGGCAGGTGGGACAAAGGAAAGCAACGAGAAACCGATCTAAATGGGTGGCAGAACAGCAACTGAGAGGGATATTGAAAAGGCAAACCTTACTACGAGCTACAAAGGATAGGAAGTTGTGGAGAGCCATGATAACTCATATCCTGAATAGACACGGTATATAGAAGAAAAATAATAATAAGAAGAAATCCCCATATTCGACATATTATTATTATTACTTTTTTTTTTAGCTTTCTTCTGTACAGTCTGCCTCGAAATCTCAACCAGAAATGCCACGTGACTTTGCACCGGAAGTGCTAACAGGTGAGTTGCCATGAATTTTGTAAGAGGGAAAAAATTTTTCAAATTTTGGACAAAAGTTTTAAAGTTGAAAATTCCATGATTTATTTTTGTAAAATAATCAAGATATTTCAAGCAACTATTGAAAGACAATTTATAAAATATTTCTGTTTTAAACCTTCCTTTATTTACAAGGAGAGAAATTTGCGTAAGCTTCGGGACATTTTCTTTTTTTTGAAATTTACTTCTTTTGAGACTGCCAGAAATTTGTTTTCAGATTTCGACATCATTCCCAGTGCTCCAATGACTAAAGGCATGATTGTTTTAAGATGCCATATTCTACCAATTTATATCACAAAATCTTTGTCTTTTCTTAGTCTTTCAAATACTTTGAGAAAGATATTTTTGTCAGCTGGTATTGTGTTATGTCTTTTCAATCTGATTTTTAAGAATAATATCATGGATATGGATGAGCCTGTATTTCCCTGTCTGTTTGGACACTGACGTTCCAAACAGTTGTAGCATTGACATTTTGCCCAACTTATGATGGTTTGTGTTCTATTATTATTATTATTATTATTATTATTATTATTATTATTTCCTTTGATTCCTGTTGTATACTCATATCTTCTGGGTCCCAACCAGAGACCTAAAGTTAGAAATGGCTTCATGATATTTTCCACTGAATATTTTTGTAAAAAGAATAAAAGATAAAAAATAAAGCAATCTAAGATCACAAACATTTTACATAGATAAAGCTCTTCGTAAGGTGTTAAGCTGTCATTATGAAAACAAGGTTTTGTATTTCTTTAAGGTATTGGCTACGAGAGGGTCCCTTCAGTGAGTATATCAAAACCTTTTTATTCAAACTCAGAGTCCCAACTACAACAGGAATTATTGATGCCTTCATGTGACACACTTTTTAAATTTCATCTTAAAGATCCTTGTATTTTTATAGGTTTTTGAAGATTTCCAAAGAAACATTGTAGTCTCCAGGAACTGATATAAGAAAGTACATTTTGTTTATTATTATTTCGTAGTATTTCTTCTGCATATTCACAACATCCACGTTCAGAAATAGCATCATAACATTTTCCCTGCACATTTGTGAACAAAAATGCATATACACTTTAATATAGATGAAATCCTTGATAGTATGTAAGTTGTGCTTGTAAGAACAATTTTTTTTTCTTTTTGCTTTTCCTTAAGGCATGAGATCTGCTAGGGAACACTTTAATGACTTTATCAGATCTTTTCTAATTAAACTCGGGCCCCAACCACAACTGAAATTACTGATGTCTTTATGTGCCACATTCTTGAAATTTTCACTTCAAGATCCGTGTATTTTGATAGTTTTGAAGATTACCAAAGCTACATTGCAGTCTACCGAAACAGTCATATTCTGTTTTTTGTTTTTGTTTTTTGTTTTTGTTTTTTGTTTTTTTTTTGTTTTTTGTTTTGTTCTTTGATCACTATGTCTGAGTGGTTAGCTTTGCTTATTTTTTCTGTATGTACAGGGTGCGATGGATAAATTATTATCTAAATTACGCAAAAATGAAAATAACACTGACATCTCATTTTAGCAGATATATTTACCAAATCTAGATATCCTGAAATACGAAAAAATAAGTTTATTCATTAAAATCGCCAATGGCTTCAACCACGGCCTCCAGACGACTTTGGAATCTCGTGCAACGCATCTGGACAGTGTCCTCGTTTAAGTTGGTGAATCCTGCCATAATCCTTGCCTTCAGTTCATCTTTGGTATTACAAGGAGTTTTGTTGGTCTCTCGCTCAACTGCGCCCTATACGTCATAATAAAGGGGGCTGCAGTTCGGGGAGTTAGGTGGCCAGGTGTAAGGGGTGATATGGTCGCAGAAATTGTCTGACAGCCATGACCGTGTTCTCCTGCATTTGTGTCATGGTGCAAAGTATAGTTGCCAGTTGTCTTCCAACGGCCACCCTCTTGTCCCAGGACAGCACTGCTTCCTTAAGGCACTTGATGTAGGCCTCCGTAATGAGTCTGAAGCCCTGTGGAGGCATAACGCCGCCATCACTAGTGATCACTTCCAACACTTTTGTAATCACCATTAGACTCGTCGAACTCTTTCCGAATCCTTTTTACTGTCCTTAGATTGGCACCCAAACACTTTGAAATGTTTGTATTGGAAGTTCCGGCGCGAATGCCAAGCAGTACAGCATGCCTTTTCAAATTTCTGGTGAAGTGAATTGCGCCATGACGCTCTTTTTCTCACAGACGATGTTCAATTGATTCTACCATACTGTGCAGTCGATAAAATCCAAAAACAAACAACGCGCATGCGCTAAATTAAGCATATAAAATGGCGACAATTTTTAGAATCTCTTGAAAATAAGGTTTGTCAGGGATTTTGTTAAAATTCTTGTCTGTAGCGTTTTTGATCATACAGATTTCAATTGTTATAGGTGTACAAGTGGGTTTAAGGCGTCAATTAATTTACTTTCAGTCTCAAAATGCATACATAATTTTCTTTTATCATATCCTTTGCAATTTATATATCTTTTTAGTCAGATATATTTAATCTGTCTATTAAAAGATCTTTTTCTTTATCATCTAGAATTGCAGTGTCTTGTCTTATTAAATTTTATGTTTATCCATATCTATAAAACAGAAGATTTCTTTGTGTGTGTGTCTGCCCCTGTGTCTGTATGCTATTTATGCATGTCTGCATTTATCGATCGATTTTGATGAAATTGTACAAATATGTTGCAAATTTACTAAGGTAGGTCAAGACCAACTTTTCAATCTTCAAACTGAAGGTGGATACAACTTTTTGCAAAAACTAACGCAAAGTTACACGCGAACAAAATTTTTACCTATGAGCGGATGTTCTTTGCACTTCATACAAAACATCAGCTCATGTTACAAGGTTTATGTCGAGTGCTTGATAGTTTTCCTGTGACATTGACGTCACACACACAACAAAAATGTAAATCGTTATGTTCCGTCTTCGCAATTCCTGTTCATTTATTGTTCTCGATCATTAATAATGTGATTCTGTTTCTTATATTTGCCAACACCTAGAAATCTCTTGCATCTTACCGGCTTTATCACCTTGCTTGCAGTGAAATGATGAACAAAAAGTTACACAAGAAGAGTAGAGAATGTAGATTAGTATTATAGAGAAAGCTTTCGAACTCTGCATTATATTAGAAAAGGCATCTAACGTATCGGTTAAAGAAATGAACTCGACATAACCCAGTGAGGCACATATATCTGCTCGATGTTCTAGAAAAGGTTACTAAATGCAAAAGACATCTGAAGAATTCTGGAGAGTATAACAACTAAAACATTGTGTCTGTCTATATTTCTGAAATGAGGTATTATGTACACTATTTACATTATTCGGACTATTGCCCTAATCTTTGTTGCCATATTTATCACAAAATTTCGGCAGTTGTACGCTCCGGCCTTCTTTAGGTGATTGGAATGTCCTTAAGGACACATGGCACAGTTGATAAAGGCG